TTTATTTATTTGTTGACAAACAGTTTTCCAATTATCTGTTGTGTAAAATATTCATCTATGTATCTACAAGGTGTTGAGGGGATCCATTTTGGTGTCCTAAGGATCGGGTCTTTGCTTTTTGCAGATTATGTGGTTTTGTTGGCCTCATTGGACCCTGATCTCCAGGTTAACAGCTGGGTGTGAAGAAGCTGGGAAGAGAATCAGCTCCCCTAAATCCGAGACTGTGGTCTTGAGTTGGAAAAGGGTAAAATGCCTTCTCCAGGTCAGGGATGAGGTCCGGCCCAAAAAGGAAATCCTGCCCAAAATAGAACTTTTGCCTGTTGACATATTTCCCGTAGTTAGATATGTGTGAAAAAAATCATAAAGTAGTCCCAAGTGTAAAATAGCGCCTGTGATTCCTTTTTGTTACTGATTATTTTGAGTCTGATTATGTAGGTCACCAGGCAGAACTGGGCTCACTACTGAATGATTTTAAGGATGTTTTTACTCACAATGCTAGTTGGATCCATTCACTTAAGAGTACAGACACATTTTTTATTCCCATTTATCTACTTCTGGGAAATACGTCAACAGGCAACATTTCAATTATGGATGGAATGTCCCTTTAAGTGGTGAAGTGCCTCGGGGTCTGGTTCACAAGTGAGAGAAAGATGGAGCGTAAGATCAATAGGTGGGTTGATGCTGCCTCTGCAGTGACGCGGGCGTTGTACCGGCCTTTTTTGGTGAAGAGAGAGCTGAACCGGAAAACTCTCAATTTATCGGTCAGCTATGTTCCTACTTTGATCACGAACTTTCGGTAGTGACTTAAAGTACGAGATTGTGGGTACTAGCGGCCAAAATGAGTTTTCTCCGCGGGGTGTCTGGGATCTCTTTTAGAGATGGATTGAGAAGATGGGCCATCTGGTAGGGCTCAAAGTAGATCCGCTGCTCCTCAACATTGAGAGGAGCCAGTTGAGGTGACTTGTGCATCTAGTTAGGATGCCTCCCTGGTGAGGTTGTCTGGTCACGTCCAACTGGGAGGAGAACCAAAGGAAGACTCAGGACACGATCAAAGGACTATATTCTTTTTATTATTATTTTTTTTCATCCTGCATAAACAAGCAGTATAGCTGAGACAGTGCAGAATCTTTTCCAGTCGATAATCTAACGCCCTGATCGAAACCAGCCTGGGCTAGCTTAGAAGGACAAGTAAAAGCAGAAGTCACATTTGTCACTATGCAGTCTTCAGCCAAACCACATTGGATGGAGGTTGTCAACCAGGATCCCGGAGCGAAGTGGATCTTTGACTTGGAAGAACCAAATGGCTTAGCCGAAGGCAACGATCTGAATGCTAAATTAAATGCACATACAGTACGTAAATGGAATATTTTTATTAGGGCAATAATAAATCCACATGGGATTATCGCTTTAATGGTGGTTTTCCAGTTAACACAAAGACAGAGGCAATCTTAGTAACATTTTTCGTAATAATTAAAATAAATAAATAGTGAAAACACCAAGTTTTCACATCTCCACACATGAATAAAAACCTAAAATTTGGATTTATGTGAATAAACATTCTACATGGAAAAATGATGCTCTCAGCATCTGATTTGAAACTCACCCTGTTACACATCGGACATGTCCCAAATCCCCAGAGCCGGTGGACAGGTGTGTGAGCTGTGGCATGATGGCTGCCTGAGCCCCACCTCAGTGCTAATCACCACTTAGTACACTCCATTTACTCATCTGCTACTTTCATGTTCTGCTAATGGTGGGCATTAGGTCACATGACACAGCTCATCCTCCCTTCCTGTGGGCCTCTGACCTTTTTTGTCCCCCACCCACATTGTCATTTACGTCTCCCCCGTCCTTTCTGTTTTAAAGGAAATGGAAAAAATGGCCTTCCAAGTGCCCGTGCGATTTGACTAAAGCTTCTGTGATTTCCCCTGAGAATGGGGTTGGCAGTCCCCCACAACGCTGGCTGGTGCTGTGAGCTGTTTTGTGCTCCTATCTCAGCAGCTGACAGCAAGTCTTACAAGCAGCCAGGCAGGCAGGAGCTGGCTGACTGTGGAAACTAGACAGGGCAAGGCTGATCTTAAGGAAATTGAAATACTCTGATGGAAGCCGAGTGTGAACAAGGCTGTCACTGTAGGTGTACATGGAAAATTGCTCTGTGTGTTGGCTAGTTCGTGTGCAGCATGTGTGCGCCCAGTTTATACAAACTTTGCATTTTGTCAGAGCGAGCTTTCTCGCTTATCAACAACACACGCTTGTTGCAGTAGCCAACCCATTGCTGAGAAAATGGATACTGCTGGCCAACAAACACCCGCAACCAGTTTCTCTTAAACATTTCCCCCACCACCCTGCTTATCTGCAACAGATCACCACCCAGACGTACCAGTCTTCCCTCTGCCTCCCAGTTGTATCTGTCTGGGAAAGCAACCACAGCTGAGGGCATGTTTTGGCATGCAAAGATCTAAAATTTTCATTACTCTCATGGATTTCTGCAAATGAATCATTTAGGGCAAAGAATGAACTTGTAATCTCTGATCGCAATATTGTCTCTCAGTGTTGCCAGTCAGACTGAGACAAGTAGATACGATCCTTGCATTAACTGCTGTGTTTGTCTCCTATTTGCCTGAATTTACTATCAGACTTGGTGATTTCTTTTTACCACCAAGAGACATCATCAGAACAGAGCTGAGAAGCTGGTGAGATAAACAACCAGATGTTTTTTATGTCGGTGCAATGTCACTGAGGATTAGCAAGAAAAGAGACATGTAACAGTAACCTTTGTGTTTCTGTTATATGATCCAGATGTTACATTTTAATAAAGACACGACTTTCATTATTTTTTTCTGAGTCAGTTTGGTGTTGAGGGAGGGTGCCTTTTAAACTTTACTTGTTTTTGTGAATTTTTTTAATCCTTTTATGCATATATTGTTCAAAATGATGGAGATGTTAAAAATATTGCAAAAAGCACTTCAACTATTTTACTCTAATAAACGGTCTTATCACAGTTTTCTTTATTTTGTCCTAAGGGTAGACCGATATATTGGTCAGTCTATATATCGGGCCAACATTAGATTTTTTCATGTATCGTATCGGCCAACATACCTCCTTAGCAAAGCAGATTTAAAGTCAGGCACATTCCTGGAATTAAATTTGAATTTAATTGAAATGAATTTACATTACTGAATAACATCTGCATGCTCTAAAAATCATTTTTAACAAAAAAGTTTTTTTACATACTAGTTTAGAATATTTAATACTTGGTCAGTCTGTTGATTTGTTTGTTTAACCTTAGTTAGATGTTTGATTTTAACACGGACCAGTGGACAGAATCAGGATTTGAAAGCTAGTTAAATTCAGTGTTCAAAAATGCATTCAGCTTCTGAAATGTTGTGCAGCAACTGATGATAAGGGCATTTTAACACATGAATGAAGTGGTAAACATCTATCGGCCATGCAACTCTGCCCTAAATATCAGCAGCAAAAATCTGCCAATGACTGACCATGACTTTTACACGTTGGCAGTAGAAAAACCAATATTGATCAATTTCTAGTTTATACACTTCTGTCACACTATAAAGAGACACTGCAGCTTTTTCATATTTTTAAATTATTTTCTTGAGCCAGTATGTGCTAAAATGATCCTTTAGAGAGTTAATGAAAAGTCACTCAGACCGCACCACGCCCTGTGGCCAGTATATCGCACTTGCAACTTCAGAGTGGTGGGTAAAAAAATTGAGCTGCCATACCTGGCGCTGCAGTCTACTTCCATCACCTTTTCTGTGTGTTTTAAATCAGGAAGACAGCTGATTTGTTTAACCTAGTGACGCATCGCTCTGGTAGAAACCAATCAAGGCTGGGGACACATTTTAGCACAGCAACCCAGTGCAACAAACGCACAGCGGAGATAAGTTTTGCTTTTAGTTCTACCAAGCATACACTAGGGGGCACTAAATGCAAGCCAAAACTGCCAAGTGTGCCTTTTATTGTTTCAATGCTGTTCTTTTACATCTAGCATGCATTTCAAAAACATTACATCATACAAACATGGTGATGATAGTGTGGTCAACTGGCACTTTTTGCTGCATCAGGACCTGGCTGACTTGCCGTCTTTACTGGAATGACTTGCAGGACATTTTTCGGATGTTGATTTAGAACAGGCCGTTTATGCTGGGAAACCCTCCAATGTGACTGAAAAAAAAAGAAAGTGAAGAAGAGTGGGCCAAAAATAATCCATCGTAGTGTGAGAGTCTCATTACCGAGTATCGCAAATGCTAGATTACAGCTGTTGAAATTGTCATATAAAAACTGTGTTTTGTTTTTACTCAGGCTATCTTTGTCTAATAGTAAAATGTGTTTGCTGTTTTAACTATTTTATTGACAAAACAGCAAGAAATTGCAGAAGTTTTGTGCAGTTATGCATCTTTTTTCTTCTTTTCAGCATTTTACATTGTGTGTAAGTGTGGGTTGTGGGTAGGAGCTGGCACTTTCTTTGACATATGATTTTATAGAATTTCCACACAAGGGCTGAGCTAACTGGCTCTTCATTTTTCAAGCTGTTTTCTCCAGAGTTAACACACAAAACCATAAATTGTTTCTCATCCAGATGCACGGAAACAACAAATGTGTTCTCTTCCTACTAGAAGCTATTGCATGATACTTGGTTACATGCAAGCATGCACGAACAAACAAAGGCAATATGTGCATTTTGTAATCAAGCTCATGGAGAGAGATCACATAACGAAGTTTGGCGGTTAACAGCATGACAGAGACTCTCAGGCATTCCTCCCAGCAAAGTGCCAAGGATTTGTTTCCATGTTTCTTGTCTTAACAGAAGTGAAGCAGAGACAGATGAATCACCGTGGGGTTTCATCTCCTCTCTGCTCATAGATGATGGTGTCAAGTGATCACTGGTCCTTGAATGCAAGTCATCTCTGTGGAGGGATACTAAAAATAGGATTTTGAAGCTAACCACTGTCATTTTCCCCCTCTTTTCTTTGCTGCAGAGACATTGATGGACACTCGGGTGGCCACAGCAGAGCTGGGCTGGACGGCCTATCCTAACTCTGGGGTGAGTTGAAAAGCTACTCCAAACAAAAGGAAGAAAAAAATAAATAAAACAAATCCAACTTTGAAATCTGTTCTAATGATGGTGAGATGAACTGATGGCGTGACTGTGTAACGTGACACACTGAGACGGTCCGACAAAGAGGGAGGGAAGCAGCAGGTTGGATAAACTTAAGTAGTTCCCAGTGTAGGTCCCATTAAGGGTATTATTTTCTCTGTGTCCCGGTCTATAATGACTTAATAATGTAATGGGTCTGCGCAAGCCACATAACATGGTACCTAAGTCCTTGTTAATGGAAGCTGGAGGATACCGTAGACATAATGATACTGTAATGATACATTTATGCAGTGAAGTGGAGGTATTAGGATAAAACGAGGGAGGAGGAGCCTGCAGAATGAAGATGCTTGAAGGTTTTAAGCTCCAAAATAAACTTTTTTTTTTTTTTATTCTTTGAGCATCAAGTTTCACATGAAAGGAGTATGGAAGAAAGATCAGTGACAGGACTTTAACGATATATTTTTCCTCATCCACCTTTTCTGTTTATTAATAAAATACCCTATCAAAAGATTTACTGCCCTGTTACACTAATGGACCTAAGGAGAATTTTAAGACCGTGTTCTTGGCGATGTAATTCGATAAGCCAATGAAAAGCTCAGCAGCCCGGCATTAGTATAAGCTGCAGGAGCTGTCCTGGATAGACAACGAATGCTTCCTGTATTTTCTGGGTATTTGGGTCTTTATGAGGCATTTATATGAGGCAAGCACTGGTATAAAAGGGTCTTTTATTGGTGCTGAAACTGATGAACAGAGCTTTGATTCTTTAAAGACTAAAGAGTGAGGTAACCATTATTTCCAGTATGATGACTTTCCTTCTAAGTGTGTGCGTGTGTGTGTGTGTGTGTGTGTGTGCGTGTGTGTGTGTGTGTGTGTGTGTGTGTGTGTGTGTGTGTGTGTGTGCGCGCGCGCGTGTGTGTGTATGTGTGTGTGTGTGTGTGTGTGTGTGTGTGTGTGTGTGTGTGTGTGTGTGTGTGTGTCTGTGCGCGTGTGTGTGTATGTGTGTGTGTGTGGACAATCGTCTTCACAGGTTCTCACAGCTTGATTCTTGTATATTTCTAGATAGCAAACTGACTCCGGACCGGACCGACCACATAGGAAGCCTCCACTTGCGCTTCGGAAAAGATTTCGTAACGGATCGTGATCGTGGATCTGGATCAGATCTGGCTAAAAGTCTGTCCAGATCTGTTTTGGACTCGTCCATTAAGCGCATTACCCGCCTCAGCCTGGTTTGGAAGGAAATTATCCAACCTGGGTTGTATTTTTTTTTTACTTAAAAATCCTAAATTCCAAAAATAGTAAATCAAGACATGCAGTAACTGAATATGCCCCGCAGATGATAACAGACCTGTAGAGTAAATTAATCAAATTTGTTTCTGTGAATGTACATTTGATGGTACACCTGTCCATTTAAGAATTAGAATTCTACATAATATTTAGTATTAAAAACATTAAATGTCCATCTTTACATCCATCCATTCATTCAATCTCTTCCACTTATCCGGAGTCGGGTTGCGGAGGCAGCAGATTAAGCAGGGACGCCCAGAGTTCCCTTTCCCCAGCTACTTGTGCCAGCTCCTCCGGGGGAATCATAAGGCATTTCCTGGCTAGCAGAGAGACATTGTCCCTCCAGCATGTCCTTTTGGTCTCCTCCCAGTTGGACATGCCTGGAAAACCTCACCAGGGAGGCGTCCACGAGACATCCTACCGAGCCACCTCAACTGGCTCCTTTCAGTGTGGAGGAGCAGCGGATCAACTTTGAGCCCCTCCTGGAAGACTGAGCTTCTCACCCTATCTCTAATCCCGGTTCCACACTGAAAGCATCGGTGGCGCGGAACGGCAGTGGGATGCCACTGCTTCAAATATAATCCATTATAGTCTATGGATTGTTTTAAACCAGTGGCGACGCAGCAATTTTCAGGCGCGTCCCAGAAGCGGCACGCCGCACCGCTAAAGATAGGATCGGGTTGTATTTTTGCCGTGTGCCGCTTCTGGGATGCATCAATTTCCACAGTTAACATATGGCTAGACAGGATCACACACAATTTCAGTGTAAAATCACAGGTAAATTTCAAAATAAATGTACTGCAGCAATGCAGTTTCATATAAATGAAGTTTACGTGCGACCCAACGACTTGTTTACTCACAGCATCGTTCTAGAAGTGCAGCGGTGTGTTTTTCATGGCTTTAATCTTGGCAGTGGAGAGGAACATCATATATGACATCAAACAGAGGTATCAAACGTGATTTCTTTCTTTTTGGTTTATTGGCGGACTGCAAAAACAAACCATGACCTGAAGTCTCAAGGGATCTTGCGAGCCCAGCGCAGAGCACAGCAAGGAAGCTGTGCCGCTGCCAAGACTCTCCCGGTGAGAAAAGGACCACTTTGAAGTTCGCAAGTAAACCGTTCCGCTGATGCTTCCTGTGTGAAACTGGTGTAAGGCAGAGCCCAGACACCCTGCAGAGAAAACTCATTTCAGCCACTCGTGTCCTCGATCTCGTTCTTTCGGTCACTACTCAAACTTCATAATCACAGGTGAGGGTAGGAACGTAGATCGTCCGGTAAATCGAGAGCTTTGCTTTCCCGCTCAGCTCTCTCTTCACCACAACAGACTGGTACAACTCCCACATCACTGCAGACGCAGCACCAGTCTGCCTGTTGATCTTACGCTCCATCTTTACCTCACTCATGAACAAGACCACCAAGATACTTTAACTCCTTCGCTTTGGGCAGGACTTCGTCCCTGACCTGGAGAAGGCATTCTACCCTTTTCCGACTCAAGACCATGGTCTCAGATTATAGTAAATGTTTTAGCAAAATAATCCAAAATCATGCATTTCTTTAGCTTCCTTAAATAAGTTAGATTAGATTTAAGATGACAGCCAATATCTGTATTTACATTTACATTTCCCATAGTCCACGCCTGATGCTGTTCAGTATTATAACTCTGGGTGTAGCGATGACGAAAAGCATGGTGTTACCTGTTGTGCACAGTTGTAAAATAATTTTTGAAAGCTGCTTTTAAAGGTGCAAAGTCATATTTATTCTCAGATCAACTTACAATGAATGCAAAAACATGACAATGACTTTTTTTCACAATTGCTATTTTTTCCATACCCCTGCACTGACATTGTCTGGAGTCTGATCACTCTGAGCAGGTTTCTAACAACACACACACACACACACACACACACACACACACACACACACACACACACACACACACACACACACACACACACACCAATCTGTTTTAAACCTAATGAGATAATTGGATCACCTGCAAGGGTGATATGTCTGCAGAGAAACTGAGACCCACTCACTTCCGTAGGTCATAATCCTCGTGTTCGAAAGGGATTACTTCAAAGTACTTCATAAGTTTGAGTAAAAGTTTTACCTTGCATTAATTTCTTATTCAAGCATTCAGTTTGGTTTCTCATGCATTCATAGGCATGCTTTCACTTTATGATCATTCAAAAAAAAAAAAAAAAAGGCAGAACAGCAGCTTCTGAGCTACTGAGAATAGGCATCTCCCGTGTTTCCATCCAAAGCTGTTCAGTTCAGCAAGCCTCGGGGCACACAGAGCCTCTTGTCTTTGTTCAGCAAGGTATTTTAAGCTTCTCTTGTTGTAAAGGTTCACACATGCTGTAGGGAGAATACACTCATGTTGCTTGGTGGCAAATCTGTATAACAACAGCACAACATGTATTTGTGCTGTTGCATTTGAGTTTTCAAGATCAGATTACATTTTTGCAGGATTTTCAAACCTGATATCTGACATTAACTACCAATCAATATTCTAGAAAGAAACACATTAGACTCGACATTGAAGCTTCATGTGCACTGCTTAGTGTATCATGCATATTTGTTGATGTCGGAGCACGGAGTGGTCAGTTTGCAATGCGAACCTGACAACTCCTTTTTGAAAACACACTCCCTTTGAGACACAGCAGCAGTAAATCACTCACTCAGTTGTGTTGTCCCAGTGGGTTTCAATGTATTCCAGTCATTTCCTTGGCTGAATTCCCCTTCAGGGGTTCATAAGCAGTGTATTTGTGTCTAGGTAGATGTGTTTGCCTGAACCTAAGGTTTATTTTGAAGGACTGCAGAGGAGGCGGTGTCATTAATTCCAGAGGGGTAAACATGAGGACATCAGGGTCAGTTATGAGGATGTATAATGGAGTGGTATGTGACTGCACATTCACGGGTTCTCATCTGCTACCAGCCTCTCTCTGGGTAGATGCTTTGAGCAAACAAAAGCCTTATATTCTCCTGTAATTTGCATTCCTGCGAAATATTTCCCTGCTGTTTTGTACCGTTCACCCCCAAAGCTCTTTATTGCTCTCTCCCTCTCAAATTAACACTCGCTAGTCAGTCATTTGTTTCTTTTTGTTTCTCACACTGACTTAAACTCTCTTCGTCTTCTTTGCTGTATGATTAATAAAACATGGAGTCCCAGAAAAGGAAAATGTCCCCTGACCTTGTCATGCAACATGAACAAATGGAAGTAAACAATGGCTTGCACGCACAGCAGCTCTACACGTGTGCATCTACATGCACTCAGCTTAAATGTGATTGTTTGTTGAGTTTAGATACAAAACTTAATTAGCCATAATCCCACTTGTTTTCTCTAGGATAAGTGACTTGACTCATGATAGGGAAGGCTGTTGTTGGTTTAGCATCCAGGAAACAGCAGAGAACGTCTTGGCTAGTAGAAGCTAATTATTAGCTTTAGCACCTCCACCCCACAGCAGAACTCTTCCAGGCTTCAGTTATTTGTGGAGATAAAACACCAATGTTGCAGGACAAACTGAATCAGTGGTAGATGATGTTAGCCAATCAGAGATGAGGTGTCTAAATATTAGGAAATAAGACTTCAACTCCTGCCATCTGAAGCTCAGCTCTGATGTGGCTCATTTCTAGTTCCTGAAACAAGAGCACCCGAGCT